AGAGCCGAGTACAGGGGGACGATCACCTCCCTAGCCCTGCTGGTCACACTGTTTCTGGTACAAGCCAGGATGCCATTGGCCTTCTTGGCCACCTGAGCACACTGCTGGCTCATATTCAGCCGACTGTCCACCATCACTCCCAGGTCCTTCTCTGCCTGGCAGCTCTCCAACCACTCATCTCCCAGCCTGTAGCTCTGCTGGGGTTATTGCACCCCAGGTGCAGGACCTGGCACTTGGCCTTGTTGAACTTCATGCAGTTAAAGTCGTATAAAGAAGCATCAGAGAGATGCCTGCTTACACCTACAAAGAAGCAGTGTTCTTTCACCTTGATTAAAGATCTTGCTCAGTGTAATCTGGGATGGTACTGTCTCCTGAGAGAACTTCTGTAAGTTGACAGCAAGAGGAAGTGAGCGTCCTCACACAGGGCCTTCTCAGCTGCTTCCCAAGTCTGTTTCCAGCAGTCTCCCAGTGAAAATCCAATACCACAGTAAGACCTTGGGTTTAGTCTGTGAAGTGCTAGTGAATGATTTGTCAGCTATATTGGGATCTGCCTACCTACTTTTGATCCTCTGTACATACAGCACGGTGTTAACTGAACATGGCCAAAGACCCAGCATGTAGCTCCAAGACATAAAGCATCTCCAGCTGGAGATTAGCTTTGTTGGAAGAGACAAGAGCAAAATATTCAGCCAAGACATTAAAACCTGCAAAATGGCAGGGGACTGTTTATGCACCTCAAAATATTACCAGCTGATAAATTCTCTCAGTCCTTCACTCATGTTTCTGGTCCAAACCTTGATGGTTTATTTCTTGCACAAAGGAGAGAGACACTTTGTTCGTAATAAGCTACTGCTTATTAAAGGGCTGGGCTCAAGGTGTGCTTCTGTCAAAATGCAGATTGTTGGGATCAGCCTAAGCTCCTTTTCCATATTACCTCTCCTCACATTTGTCTTGCCTCAGCATCTTCTCAGAGGGTGTGCTAGCCAGTAAGAGCTTTCTTTTCCTCTCTGTTTGGCATGTGGTTTCCTCTTTTTCTTGAACATCTCTAGCCCCTAACTTGCTCTTCTCCAGCTTGTCATCTGCTACTATTATCCAGTTGTATATGTAACACAGCTTAATCATACTAACATATTACATGGGGGTGGGGTTTTTCTCCCATCTGGGTATTCACAGGGTAACTGTGAGATGAAGAGAATTCTGAAAAATTGAAATTCATTGGTAGGCCACACAAAAGGATGAGACAGAAAGAAGACATCTTTCTAGTATAGAGCTGTTATCTTTTAGTCTCTTAAAAATGAAGTTCATTGCTAAGAGAAGAAACTATAGCATTCTAAGATACATTAAAAGATTAAAAATGTTAGGTTGCAAGTATTAGCTAATGAGTGATCACAAACTGAATAACAGAAGTAAAGAAATAGAACATTGAGCAACTGAAAATCACTTTCTTCGTCAGGCAGATTAGAGTGGGTCAGGTCTGAAAAACCTGAAGAGAAGCTCTTACAAAAACAAACAAACAAAAACCCTCCACTAAATCCCATTTTTGTTCATACTCTTCACTTTTTTTTTTTTTTTTGAGCAGTCAAAATGGCAAACATTGATTTTTGTTCAGTACCTTAAAAATTATATCCATAAATCCATTGAACTATGCTGTGATACCTCAAGATGTTGCATAAAGAACTATAAAACCACAGCTTTAAATAAACGAGTCTTTCCTTATTGCTATTAGTATAACAATAGTTTAGGATTTCTAAAAAAAATTAAAAAATAAAAAAATTGTATATAGGCCCATTCTACGGAGCACCATATTCTGGACATTCTGAGCAGTTCAAACTTTCATAAACAGGATTTCCAGGAAGATTTTGACATTTAAGTCTTTTTGTTCCAGGTTGACAAAAAAATGTGTAAGCAGGAACCCTTGGTCCAGATTGCCAGGTTTGTTTGTGCATTTTGAACTAGATTTCATGGGCATTTAATTTGTCTTGTTGAAGTTGCTTTCTGCTACATGTCTACTTTGGAGCAAGTCCAAAAGCACCTCTGTCTTCAAAGGCTAGAAGAGGTTCAGTTCCTTTTTCAAACCTATGTGGGAAACTCTATATGTTTCCATAGATTAGATGAGTTGCAGACACTTTCTTCTCTGGGTGGTGTTCTCTGAGCATGAAATATTTGAGCAGGGTGCAGATGCCACCATCCCTTTCCTTTGAAACACAAAGAGAAGCAAAGGTTATCCCTTGATGTGGTAGCTAGATTACTTGTATGAGACGGGGAAGACCTGAGTGCAGATTTCAGCTCTTGTTTTGCTAGGTGGAAGAAAAAACACTTGGTGGGAGAGCTTGGATACCCTTCATGTGTGGAAAAAATGCACAATATATTACTTTCCTTTGTTTCCTCTTGCATGCTTAGGTGGCTTCCTGCTCAGCCTTTTGTATTTCATAGGTCTGTTTGGAGGTATTTTTACAGCAGGTGTTGTATGAAAAAGGAGAGTGTCTATCTGAAGGCAGTGGAGTCCAGCTACCTGTATCCTTGTGTGAACCTCAGCACTTTGCACCCATTATATGAATCACAGCCTCAACTTCCAAAATGAAAAACTAGTAGGTGTGTTGTGATTATAGCTTAAAATTACCAGCGTAGTTAGGCTAGATAAGCATATAAAATTTTGAGCTTTAAATCCAAGCTGTACAAATGGAACTGCTTTTGTGAAATGAGTTGCTTTCCCTGATCCAAGTTTTCTTGTTCAAACCATTCCTTCTGCCTTAAAAAAAAAAAAAAAAAAGAAAAGGCTTCTTGTGCCAACGACTGAGATTAATCTTCTAAAGCTTTTAGCATACTACCTGCAACATTACAACATTAAAAATAAATAAATAAACCTACCACATAGTTCCCTGTTTTCAGACTTTGCAGATTCAGGGTTCGCTAAGAAGTCATCTCTCTTTTTCCTTTAAAAGAAGACAACCATATAGAATAATAGAGTTCTCTGTCTAGCATACAGACCCATCTGGAAAGAATTTAGTCTGCAATAATTGTGGGCACTTGATTTAGCTTTAAATCCCTGCAGGTAATTGAAATGTAAATTTATTGGGGTGAATTTATCCCCAAATGCCTTTGGATCCAATGAGGTTAAGAGATGAACTTGGCCCATTGCACTACAACTAGAGCCTACACTTTTTCTGTTGCATCAAGATAATATTACATGCAGTAATGTCTGTCATTATAAGCTGAACTTTACTAGAAATAAACTCAATACAGACAATACAATCTCACCTGAATTACAGTTATTTTTCAGTCCTTTAAAGATTAGTCTTCTTTGGTTCTGCATATGTTTATAAACTAGTATCTAAATCACTTAGGCAATACTGGTATCATTCATTATTCAGTTATTCTGTACTCATCTGAGAAAATCTTTTTGGTTAAGTAAAATTCTTTGCATTTCAGTCTGACATTCTGCTGATGAAAAAAAAAGTTTCAAGAGGCATTCAGTGCATAATGTAAACAATGCCATCTGTCTTTTTCTTTGTAAAATCTTCTTCAAGATAACCCTGATATGCCTACTGTTTTCAATCACTTAAAAAGCAGTAATTCAATTATATCATCCTCTATGTAGGAACTGCCATTGCTTTCAGTCCACTTCCAATCCTGACACAAGTAAATCACTTTGATAAGATCCCTTTTTATTTTATTTTATTTATTTTTTTCTGAGGAGACTAGCATAAGTAATGATGCCAGTGATAGACCAAGGACAAAATGACTATAATTGGCTTTTTGCAGGAAAGGAAAACATATGCTATTGTGATTTACCCTGTTACTTAGAAAATGTTTTTCCTTGGAATTTCTGCAATAGCCACACTCTCATAATGAAGGGCATTAATGAATGTGAACAACCAAAAGGTGAATTCGAACAAAACTTTCACCAAGCAGCAGTTTTAAACAGCTATCCCTAGTTAAATTTCTTAAATGGGAACAGAAGGTCAGATCCTTTTTGGAAATGTGCCGAGGTCAGATTCATCTTTGGTATTATTCCACCAACTTACATGGAAACACAACGGGAATGTGTAAGGCTGGATCTTCCTTACAAACTGCTATGGCTTATCGGGCAGATATGCCTTCCTTCTATTTAAAAATTATTTGGGTGACTTCAGTGCTTTGTGCCACTGGTGGGGCATGGGCCTGGCAGGCACTTCTACCCTCCCAGAATAGACGCTGCACGAGATCTGTAGTATCTGTAGACTTCCTGCTGCAAATTGGCCTGGGCCGTGATACAGAGAGAGTATGTTCAGAGGTGGGCTGCATCTGGACACATCTTTCTCTTGCCCATAATTTCAGGAAAATGGGAGAGTGCCAGACCAGATGGTCAAGTGTGACATGAAAGCTTGCTTGGAAAGATCTGGACTAGTTCAAGAAGCATTTGGACAATGCTCTCAGACATATGGTCTGATTTTTGGGTGGTCCTGTGTGGAGCCAGGAGCTAGGCTTGATGATCCTTGTGAGTCCCTTCCAACTCAGGATATTTTATGGTTCTGTATGTGTCTCTGAACATGGACTGGTCACTGAGCACAAATACCCCCTGAGCACTGGTTTTATTGCTTGCATTTTCAAATCTGTAAGGAGTGCTGGTCTTGTATTTGCTGTCTGAGATCACATTCAGGAAATGCAGTGAGAAGTTTACTCTAATTCATCTGCTAAAGAAGCAGCACTACACAGGTAAGAGGTGATCAGGGATATTAGAACAGGCCAAGTATGGCTTTTCCAGAAACAAGCTGTGTGGTAATCCTTTTGCAAAATTATTTTAGAGAGTCTGTGTGAGAAAGCTGTGATCTGGGCAGGAAAACAAAACAAAACAAAAAACAACACAACATCTTTGTATTTTTTAACCTAATGAATTATTTTTTCATTCTGAGGTCCAAATGTCCACTGCCAGTCACAGGGTAATGATTTGGGTTATTCTGTGAAACAGATAAGAAGCTGTTTAAGGTGTTATTGGTATAGCATGCTGTTTTGTTTCACAGAGAAAGCGTGGAGAGCCTTATCCAAAAGCATTCCTATGCCCGATCCCCCATTCGAACCTATGGAGGAGAAGACGATCTGGGAGATGACAGTCAGGCAACACAAAGCAGAGGTAGGAAAAAGTTCTCACGAGGTAAACTGTGCTTGAGAAAAAGAGGATTACAGCCAATATTGTTGCACTCTGGTGTCTGTCTCTGCCATAAAATCCACAAAGAGGAATACATGTTCCCTTGTGGCTCCTCTGGACACCTGATATGCCAGTGGCACCGGAGCTGGGGGCTTGTTCAGGAGACAGCTCTAGAAATACATACACAGACTTGGCCAGCAGAAGAAAACTATTGCTGTTTCCTCTTCAGGATGGCTGAACAACATACAACTTAATTGCCAAGGTGCTGAGTACAAGCTAAGAGTCCCCATCCCTTGGTAGGACTTTAAAGCTGTGGCTCAGCACCACTGGTAATGTAGACATGCCCTTTGCTGCCCCTACAGCCTTCTGCCAAGAGGACTTGGCTCTGATCACCTTCAGCCAGACTGTGGTTAACCTGTTTTGCCTCTACAGGAAGAGAAGTCCATAGCTGCCTGGAAAATTGACATTTGTTTGTCTCATGATCTCTAAAATGTGCTTTTTCTGCTTGGGCACTTCACCTCAAATGCTTTAGGTTTGTCTACTTTAGCAGCCACAGAAGTAGTAGCAACACAGAGTTGTTCTTTGTGGGGTGACTTGCTGGACAAATTGCATCTGACATAATTTGCCACTGGAAATAGATCCATCTTGTGAGATTGCTGACTAGCATAAACTTGTGTTGCATTATACTTTGCATGGTGACTTTGTGACCTGCCTGATATGCAACAGCCACTTGAGGTAAAGCAGTTCTATCCGCCGCCCAGCTGGCAGTGCCCTTGTCTTGTCCTCTAACTTCATACAGTGTTGCTAAGATAAGAGCATTATTTCTGGTCATAAGCTCTTTGGACTTGTGCAGGGAAAACACACTTATTTTTAACTGCAAGTTGCTCTTCAACAAAATGTGATTAGTTGGGCGTGTTCACACACATCTATTCTAAGAGCAAGTTCCTTAGATTATGGAGCTTCTGGAGCAACTCCTTAGCTGGTAGGATACCATTCTTGTGAATACTTTTGGAGATTACCTTACTTTACATCAGCTTAGATCCTAGGCCAGTTATTGTTGAAGATGGCGTTAAATTTTCCCTTGCCAGAAATGCTCAGAGCAAGGCACCTTCCCTACAGGAATTGTACTTCTTCCTGGTATGATGTCCCTCTTTGGGAGTGACAAAGCAAACAAAGGTGAGTACCAGTGTGAGAACTGCCAGTCAGAGCCTTTCTCTTTCTGAAGAGAATTCTGAGGGAAGGCATCAATGGAGGAAAGAATATTTAATTAAGATTAATTTTATGTATACTATATACAGGGTACACTTCTGCATTTACAGAATCACAGAATCACAGAATTTCTAGGTTGGAAGAGACCTCAAGATCATCGAGTCCAACCTCTAACCTAACACTAACAGTCCCCACTAAACCATATCCCTAAGCTCTACATCTAAACGTCTTTTGAAGACTTCCAGGGATGGTGACTCCACCACTTCCCTGGGCAGCCTGTTCCAGTGTCTAACAACCCTTTCGGTAAAGAAGTTCTTCCTAACATCTAACCTAAAACTCCCCTGGCGCAACTTAAGCCCATTCCCCCTCGTCCTGCCACCAGGCACGTGGGAGAACAGGCCAACCCCCACCTCACTACAGCCTCCTTTAAGGTATCTGTAGAGAGCAATAAGGTCACCCCTGAGCCTCCTCTTCTCCAGGCTGAACAAGCCCAGCTCCTTCAGCCGCTCCTCGTAGGACTTGTTCTCCAGGCCCCTCACCAGCTTCGTTGCCCTTCTCTGGACCCGCTCTAGCACCTTGATGTCCTTCTTGTAGCGAGGGGCCCAAAACTGAACACAGTACTTGAGGTGCGGCCTCACCAGAGCCGAGTACAGGGGGACGATCACCTCCCTAGCCCTGCTGGTCACACTGTTTCTGATACAAGCCAAGATGCCGTTGGCCTTCTTGGCCACCTGAGCACACTGCTGGCTCATATTCAGCTGACTGTCCACCATCACTCCCAGGTCCTTCTCTGCCTGGCAGCTCTCCAACCACTCATCTCCCAGCCTGTAGCTCTGCTGGGGTTATTGCGCCCCAGGTGCAGGACCTGGCACTTGGCCTTGTTGAACTTCATGCAGTTGACCTCAGCCCATTGGTGCAGCCTATCCAGATCCTCCTGCAGAGCTTTCCTACCCTCGAGCAGATCGACACACGCACCTAGCTTGGTGTCATCTGCAAACTTACTGAGGGTGCACTCAGTGCCCTCGTCCAGATCATTGATGAAGATATTAAAGAGGACCGGCCCCAGCACTGAGCCCTGGGGGACGCCACTAGTGCCTGGCCTCCAACTGGACTCGACTCCATTTACCACGACTCTTTGGGCCCAGCTATCCAGCCGGTTTCTAACCCAACAAAGCGTGCGCCAGTCCAAGCCAAGAGCAGCCAGTTTCTTGAGGAGAATGCTGTGGGAGATGGTGTCAAATGCCTTGCTGAAGTCAAGGTAGACCACATCCACAGCCTTTCCCTCATCCACCCAGCGCGTCACTTTGTCATAGAAGGAGATCAGGTTCGTCAAGCAGGATCTGCCTTCCATAAACCCATGCTGACTGGGCCTGATCGCCTGCTTGCCCTGCAAGTGCCGCATGATGACTCTCAAGAGGATCTGCTCCATGAGCTTCACTGCTACTGAGGTCAAACTTACAGGCCTGTAGTTTCCCGGGTCTGCCCTCTGGCCCTTCTTGAAGGTGGGCGTCACATTTGCTAGCCGCCAGCTAGCAAATTTATTTACTTGCAACATGGCAAAATAGTGAGAAAGACAATGAGTTGTGGCAACAAACTTTTTTCTAATCTGGGAGCCATATGCTAGCAAAGGGTATGACTGTCCTGGGCAACCAGAGGAATGCACAAAGTTGCATGTTCTGTTCTTGGAGATGAGTAACTTGTACTGCCTTCACTCTGTTAGGCTATTGTGTCCTTAAATAATGAAAAGTTCTCTGAGATATAAAGAGAGTTTATTATTGAAACTGCTCAGACATTTTTATTTTTTCTGATGCAATTGAAAACAATGTGGCATGCAAAACTGAGGGGTGTCCTTCCTGGTATATGAGAATTGATAGCTAAATAAATACACGCTGCTCAGTGGTGTGTGTAAGAAGCTTTCTGAGGCTTTGACTGCCCCGGAATTGTTAGAATGCATTTCTTCGGATCCAGCAATTGTGATATATGAGACTTTTTGGAGTACTAGGTTGTAATTAGAGACCATTGCAGTTGGAGGAAGAAAGGGTCTTTCTGGATGTTCCTCATGAGAAGTAATGGCATACTTTGTTCTGTGTAGAAAGAAGAAACTCTCACTGCTATTTATTTCAAATTACTTCAACACCTATACAGAGCATTCTCATCTCAACTAATTTCTGCCATCTAAAGATAGAAGTGGCTAGCCTTCAACAGTATATTTATCACAACAAGTCTGTTTCCAAAGGAATTAACAGATAAGAAATAAATCAAAACTATTCAGTGCATAATGTCTGGGAGCCTGTGTTCCAGCATCAACATACAAGATTCATGGTAGCCACCTGGAACAGAGCCAAACGTACATCTTCTAGTAAGATCTGGATTTGTAGCCAGCTTTCACGATAGTGCAGTAATGCTCAGATATTCCTTGCTTTGTAAAGGCTTTTGCTCTGGTCTGTTAGTATGGTGTTATCCTTGCAGTTTGGCTCTGGATCCTAATTTCCCAGCAATTAGGATTTGGTTCAGTGGTAGGGTCAAGATTTCATTCAAGTCAGTTTCTACTGCTGAATTATCACAATTTCTGCTTCCTGCTACTGCACTGGTTGACTTGTTTTATTAACCAGAGGAGGAATTAATCAAGATTTCTGATTTGAGAATCTATTCCTGAATAGAGTCTATTTGATAATCCCTCCCCTCTCCTCCCTTCCCCTCCCCAATTATTTGAAAATGATCATCTATAGTTATCAAAACAAGTTATCCTTTGGTTTCCCCAAAAGTTTACTGTCAAAAAAAAAAAAAAAAAAGAAAAAAGAAAAAAGTTATTACATATATTTTGTATATAATAAATTAGTTATATTTTAAAAATACAATTTTTCCTTTTTTCAAATTCTGCTGTCTTCAGAGGAAAAAAGTTTTAAATAAGGACAGTTTATGAAAAGAGATTTTCTTTTGAACTTTTCAGATGGAAAAAATGGCAATGAAACTACTTATATTGAATTAAAAGTAGTTATTTATCTTCAGACTGAGTTTAGAATATTTTTGTGTATTTCACTTAAAACCCAGCATCTCTTAATTTGATTTAGTATCGCCCTTGTTTCTTGTGGCACTAGTGGCACTATACACAGTTGGAAAAATAATAAGAATGTTTTGACATATAACAGCTTTTTGAAAAAAAAAAAAGAAGTCAATTTGAGTGAAAAGATGCAGTGTTAACACACTTTCCTGGGATTAAAGAGAAAATAAAATAAAATAAAAAAAAAAATAAACCAAGCCAAAACCACCGCCAGCAGAACAAAATCCAGAACCTTGTAGTGTAAATGACTTTTTTCTATACTTTTGCCAAACTGAAATTTTAGAAAAATTTAATCTGTTCTACTGATAATCTGATATGGAGAGCTACAGCCATGCCTTCACCACAGGGACGTAATGCAGTGTCATTCCACATAACAGTAGATGCTTCAGTGTTTAGTGCCAGCATTGCAAGGTTTTAAGTGTCTAATATGAAAAACGTTCGATGAAAACAAATTGATTTTACTGTTCAAACTAACTACAACCAGCTTCTTACAATTTAATTTTTTCTAAGATGTAGGGTTGAGGGAGAACAATTGGCAAATAATAATATAAAGATAGATACAATAGAGAGAGAAGCATTTGAGAAGAATTTCCAGTGACAACTTGTCATTAAAATCAGCCTTGCTGTAAAAGATTCTTTTCCTCCCCTTTTGCTATTTTACCAGCTTTGTGTGTTGTAGTGCAAACATCAGGCATTCTTTCTCTTTGTTTGCAGGATCAGCTTTTACAACATCTGATAACCTGTCCCTCAGTTCCTGGGTATCCTCCTCAACCAGTTTTCCTGGATTTCAGCATCCACAGTCATTGAGTGCCCTGGGTACCAGCACTGCATCCATAGCTACACCCATTCCTCATCCAATCCAAGGATCTCTGCCTCCATACAGCCGCTTGGGAATGCCTCTCACACCCTCTGCTATAGCGAGCTCCATGCAAGGTAGTGGCCCCACTTTCCCTTCCTTCCACATGCCTAGGTACCACCATTATTTTCAGCAGGGTCCTTATGCAGCTATCCAGGGACTGCGTCACTCCTCCGCAGTGATGACACCATTTGTATGACTGAAGAAAGACAAGAGAAATGCGAGATTTTAAATGTGCAAGCTTGGTATGAAAAAATACAAGGGACCTTCCTGAAAGGCCTGTGGCAGGACAGTTCTGAACTCATAACAAACCAGCTAAGAAAATGCATAATGGAGATTGATTCCTCCCTTGAGGGATCACAAGAAGAGATCATGCAGCTTGGAGCTGCTCACAGACCTATGTGTAGCACAGTTGAAGTGGATCCCAAAGTTCCCAGGATTTCTGGTCACGTGCAGGTTGTTCCAAAGGTGCATTGTGCCTCGTGGAAGTATATGTTTATGCAGCAGTGTACAAATTATTTGTGTATAGGTCTTTTTCCATATGCTAGAAGGATTCTGAAAAAGGCAATACTCTCACTCATCTCCATCTCTCCTTGTGACTAATGAGCGTCTAAACAGAAAAATGTGTCACTGTAATTTTGAGCATGTTTTGGGCTATCTTAACATACTTTTGCTGGGAATAGGACAAAGTGTCCTAGGCCACTGTCCTTTTTGAAAGTCTGTCTTATATTCACCAAGAGCAGTATTTCATAGTTGCTATATAGCCTCAAAGAGAAAATTATTAACAAGTTTTTTTTTTCTCCTTCTTTTTCTTTTTTTTTTCTTTCTCTGTTTCTTTCATAAAACAATTATAAATTCCAAAAAGAACTGTGTTACAGGACTGTAGCAGTAATGATGTATTCTGTCCTTTGGTCTAAAAATAAGCTTGTCCCATGTCCTAGGAGGAGCGATTTAGCTGTCTATTAAGGTATCATGAAGGAAAACATTGATTTTTGGAAAATCTATTACTTAAACTTAGAGACCCAACACATAAAATCTTTAAATCAAAGCTTCTGTTTGCTGTTGTGCTTGCCACTAAAGATCTGTGTCTAGCTGCAAATGTGTACCATTAACAGAATTTCAGGATGGATCAGTCTCTATATAGATTCTAGATCAACCCACAATCAGTAATCATCATATAAGACGAATGGCATTGGAGTATCCTTCTACTTATTCTAATTTTCTTGCATTTGGTCATGCCTGTTATTAGACATGTTGTTTGGTCAGGTAAATGAGGGTTGTATTGTCTGTTTTCTCATGTCCCAGTAGAATGGTGTGTTCTTGGGAAAATTTCAATGTCAAACTTTGCCTATATATTTTTTATACATATTTGCCTTTTTTAGTTAGCAATTAGAGTTCTCATTCAAAGTACTGTCGACTTTTTCTAGCACATTGTGTCCAATACAACTGTAGAGTCATAGGAAAATTTGACCTCTCTGCAGAGAGCTAGCATGAGTCTTTTGCACTGTTGAAAAATGAACCAGTGTGATGCTGGTTTTCTGCATGGCGGGAACTGGGATTTCACTGTAAATAAGAAGTCAACACAGAGTTTCTGTGTACAGTTGCATCCAAGTTATAGATGATAAGACATCTACTGGTTAAAAACAAACAAACAAACAAGAACTAGCAATCCAATCCCATATATCAAAGTTCAGTGCAGAGGTGGAGCACATTGGAAAACAGTGCCAAAAGGACTGTTTTCCTCTGCTCTTGACTAGTGGGTGATGGCATCATATAGTGGGAAGTGGAGAGCAGTACAACGAGCCACCTACCTCCCCTCTCAGCAAAGTGCAAGGCAAGTCATGCTTTTTTTGTTGTTGTTCCGTTGCCTCATTTTATATGCCCAGTCACACCAAGCAATGACAACCTCCCAGACTATTCCCAGTTTCTATTGTAGGCTGGGGCATGCATCTCACAGATAAGGGCCATCTTTATGTATTTCCCAGTAGATGAGTTTAAAATCCCACAAATAGGCCTTTACAATCACCTCAGTTATCTGCAGTATCATCCTAATTTCCCTCTACTCACTGATGGACATTCTGATAAAAAAAATTACCTGGGGCAATTTACAGCTTTTGTTCTCTGCATGTGAATGAAAACAAACTTCTATTTACAGTATCTGGGTCCAGAGCTACCAAAAGGAGTTCCATAAAAGCATATAATGAGCAAAGCTCTGGTTTAGAATCAGATGTGGACTAAATTTGTCTTGATATGTCAAAATATTAAGTTTTGCTCCAGGCTATCAGGTTCATCTGAAAGGTGCACATTACAAGATTGTGCCTACTCATGACCTGGGTTAATATAAAAGTACTCTTTGTTAGAAAATTAGATGATACTAGAAAAATTTAGATGATGCTAGAAAAGACCCACAAGAAAATACCTCTTCGAGTACATATAAAATTACACAATTGTGAGAATTTCAGGGGAGATTTGGAAGGAAATTTTTGTTTGACTTCTGTAAGAAATACACGTAGTTGTATGCAGGTCCTATGATGATGTTCACTAAAGCCTGTGGGGAAGTTCTATTTCTTGTATCTGTTTCCTTCTGCAGCTCCATCAACTTATCTGGGGTTTCACGGAACATGGTTAGGTTAACAAGTCAAGCCAGTACCTTTAATGCTGATATCAGGAAGTGGTCAAGTAAGCAGGCAGCTTTTGCATGGCTCTGGAAACAAGTTTGGAACAGGTAGGCTGATTTAGGCAAGCTTTTCAAGTTACATAAAGGCTGCTCATACATTGACCTGCTCTTCCTTCATGAAGCAAAGGTGGAGAAAAAAATGTACAGTTTTCAGCCCCTTCCCAGTCCCTGTTCTAAGAATACCAATATTAGGCATGCACAAATTCCCCTGATAATGTTTCATAGAAAATTCTCCAGGCACTTCCTGAAGGAATGAAACTGGATGTTGACAAAGCCATTTACCAAAATATCAAGTGAAAGACAGAGAAGAGCTTTCCACTACAAGTAAAATGCAATGCATATCTGAAAAATATGGCAGTAGACTCTCCCTATATAAAAACATAAGGCCAATGCCTCCTCAAGAGTCTCTGTGATGAGGTCCACTTTGAAGATGATCAAGAAAGGTTTCTGGAGAAACCTATCTGTCAAATCAAATCCACACCCTGATTTTTCCAGTCAGGTCAAGGCTCACACCTCTCTCTCCACCTAATTTCTTCTCCCTGTCCCTATCACCTTCCTGTGGACAAGGGACAGCATGAGAGTGATTCCGAGATAAAATTCCTGCTTCTCTGAGGTCAGTAGTATATTTCTTGTCTGTAATGGAGACAGGATTTCATTCAACATTCTTACCTAAAAATAAAGTCAAACTGCCTGGACAGTAACTGTGACAGCAACAATATAGGTACTCTGCATAAAAAGCTAAAAACCAACTATGAATCTGCTTCAGCATTGATTTCACAATAAAAAAGAAATAAAAAGAAATTAATTGGTTAGAGAGTGAGATTTTTTTGCCTTAAAAAAAAAAACAACAAAAAAACAACAACAACAACAAAAAAACAACACAACTCTACTACTTTGACAATAACTCATTTATTTAAGGAGTTGCTGTACTGCTGTCACAATTATATCTGTTGTTTGTAGATGGTCTAGGAATGCCAAATATAATCTAGAGTTTATTTTCCAATATAATTCACATTTTATATCCCCTGAGAAGTGCTGTTCACCTTTATGAGCTGTCTTGGCTGAGCAAACTGGTGCTGTTTTTTTTTTTTTTTTTTTTTTTTTTTTTAAGAAGGGTGGAGAGAACATGCCTGAATATGCTTTTCAAAGAGAATGATAAGATTATGCTCCAAAGTGTTAAGAATGCTTTTGTGTGTTTTCTGGATTACCTTTTTATCCACAGATAGTCAACAGCCTTGGGTATTTTATCCAACAAAAGCATCCCAAACACTAACAAAACTGATGTGGATGCATTTGTCTATTTTATTTATTTATTTTCTCATTCAAGTTATGGAGCCTTGAGTGAAGCTAGACATCAAAAACAGTTTAAATTTGGCTGTTTGGTTTGCAGCATTGCTTTATATGTCCTGTGGAACACTCAAAGATTCAGTCTTACTGGTATCAGCGGTACTCTTCCAGGTATAAGCTGACAAACACCAAGTGGATAAAGGTGCAGAGATTTGAATGGAAATGCTTCTCTGCAAGTTCCAACATAGTATGTTGTGTGATAGCTAACATCCTTGTACTGCAGTCTAAAAAATACAACAACAAATTTTTCACTAGAAGGCTTTATCAATGTGGGCTGTGTGAGCATATACACATATTAGGTTGTTGCAGCTTCCAACATCCAGCAAACACTAACCAGCATTTGTAAATGAACCTCTTTTAAACGGAAACAGTTTGGGCTGGCACTTGTTTATGCACTACATCCTCTTTATTTGTGTGTCTATTATAGAGAAACAGAAATGTCAATAAGAATTATTGCAAAAATGTGGGGAGCTTTCCAAAACTGGAAGTTAACACAAATTGTGGTAATTTTCTCCTAGATAAGGGGTAAGGCAAAAGTGAGATCAGTGTAACACTTAGGGCTCATTATCTGGGAGGAAGTTTTGGCCTCAGAGCTTATGCTCATCATCTGCAGAGGGGTGATGTTCACTCACTGCAAGATTATCTTTTGTTTTGGTGAAATCTTATTCTCACTACTCCTTACAGAGTGTTTTCGGCTGCAGAAGATGTGGTTTCTTTACTAACCACTTATGTGCTGGCCAGAGGATTTATGTATTACTCTGTGATAGACTGTCCTTGAATATAGTCTCTACTTTACAAAATAACAACTTCTTTTTCTTTATTTTATCTTTTCAAAAGAAAACTAAGCAGTGATTTAAGTAAACTGAAGTAACATTTTATGATAGATTAAGGACAAAAAATACAGTTTGCTGTATTTTACCTTTAGCACATTTAAACAATTTTTTTTTCGTACCTTCAGAAACATAAGGAAAGATTTGGTTTAAAAATGAGGAAGGTAAAAACTGGATGTAACCTCTTTAACAGAATGTACCACAATTCTGCTGTTTGCTGTGTTGACTTTGTTGTTTATAATGCATTGCGTGAGCACATTCACCATGTACTGAAGTTTGTGTTTGTGTGTATGGGGTGGGGGTAGGGGGAAATCTTTTTATGGAAAAAGAAGTTATTAACATAAACTATGAAGCAACATTTAATGAAAAGTTTCTTTTTAAGTGCAATATATTTATTTCTGCTAGAAATATAATATCAACATTATGTAATATTTGAAGCATTAAATGTTATTTGTAAACGGCTTAAAATTATATATATATATATATATATATCACAAAAATTGTACATAAGTGCAAATGTGTGGATATTCAGTTTCTTTCATTAAAATATTGGGTGTTTTGATATATCATTCTTATTTAGCCAAAGCTTGCTGCCTCTGTTGTTTTTCCTCTACCCAAATCCCTGAGCACACTGGAGCCAATGGTGGATTTTTCTGTGAGCACACAAAATTTGGAAGGGCTGATCACATGCAAAAGGCAGTCTAAATCTTGAATTCAAGATATGAAGTGATACTTCTACAGTAGTTAAATGTCAGTGTAGTTTGCACATCATTACAAAAATGATTTTTCAAAATTCTCCATTATCATATTCAGAAATATTGGTGGTTTTGGCCACTAGAGCAGAACCAACGTGGCTGAAATGTGGGGTTCCCAGGATCCCCAAGATAATAAAAAGAGATCTAGGAAACATAGTCTAAGAAGGAATTGGAAAGGAATCAGGTCTGTTTAGGCTGGAGATGTGGAGATTATGGGAAGATGCAATAAGGTTTTTAAATGTGAGAAGAATGTAACAAGGAAGCAAGGAACAAATTATTCTCCCTATCTACTGCAGGCTTTTAATGTCCTTTTATTTAAAAGGATGTTATTTCTATTTAAATAACATATATTAAAGCATGGGAGAGTAGCCTGAGACATCTACGGTATTCAAAGAAGAGGGATAGTGAAGCAGGGGACCGGATTGCCTAGAGAAGATAAGGAGCAATGTCTATCACTGGAAGTCTTTAAGAACTGGTTGAACACGTGTTACTTGAGAATGATGTGACTAGAGCCAGTCTTGCCTTGGGACAACCGAAGTCTCTTGAAGTGCTTTCAAGCGTTCTGTGAGAGCCATGTCTTAAAACATCTTCCGACAAAATCCTGGTGTTGCTCCAAAGATTTTCCATTACACACCTGTAGTTGATTTTTTTCTTCAAATTGAGATCAGCTGAAGGGTCTTCATGCAGCTAGTTCACAGGTGTTGCTGGCTTACAGGGAAACCTGATGTGATAGAAGAGCTGCAAAGTCCCAATGAACAGCTGTAACACTGCCTTAATTTGGTTTCTGTCTGAATGTAAGGCAGGAGAGAACAGCCTGAGGTAAGTCAGATACACTTTAAATGTGCTGAGTTGCAATCATGCATTAATGTATCTATTTTCCATTTGGAATATTTGCAAATGAGGACAGCTCATTGAGTTGGTAATTGTGTATGTTGTCTTTTGTACCTGTATTGTATTTTGAATGTCATCTTGGTAGCAAAAACATCTATTCTCTCATGGATATTTAGTGCTGTAAAAGTCTTTTGCTTAACCTCAGGCTCAAGGGCTTTCCTGATTACATGTACAACTAAACACGTGTGCTGGCACTTTTCCTGAGTCAGAAATATTGGCTGTGTGCTGCTTCAAGATGCGGCTATGCCAAAAGTCTTGCTGAAATCAGTCGGCTTGCTTGTTTAAAGTTAAATCAATGCTTAAGTATTTCACTGGCTTTTCAGTTGAACACTCTGTGCTTTGTAGAATCAAGACTTTTGGGAGCAAGTTGTCTGTGTGACAAACACCTTTATAGTTGGATCTTTTTTTTTTTTTTTTTTTTTTACTATTGGCAAAAAGAAAACCAGGGGATTAAATAAAGTGAAGATCTGGAGCTTCCTCCTAGCAGGGTTATTCTGAAGAGACTGATGAGTAGTCATGATGGCTGTAGGCTGCCTTGTGTTTCATATTTAGAAAACAGATTTATGTCCAAATAATCTTACTTGGAGACAAGCAGCACAGGAAAAAAATATATATACTTGGATGGTGATATTTTCTAAACTTCCTGTTTAGAAGCACAATGAACGCACTGATTTAATGCTATGTTAGAATTGTGGAGCAATAAATGATATTTTGAATTATGAGTAAAAAGCATTTCAAATGTACATCAAATTATTTAGATTATGCCATGTCAGTTCAATATATAGGTAATTACTGATTATTGTTATTTATAATGATATACTTAACTACGTGTCTAACAATAGATCTATCTATCTAACAATAATCAATAATTCTAAGAATAAAGAGTTGTCAGTCATCTAATGCCTAAGATTCTTATTAAAGCTAGTTGCTAATATCAGTGTTGGTCAGTGAGGCTCTAGGGACCTCTGGGGAAACTACAGAAACTGGTTCTTGTTCTCCATAATAATTACTAGAAGGACTAAGAATATGTGGGGATACTTGCCAGACAGCTTTTTTGAAGAGTGAGATGACCTCACCCAATGCAGACTGTACTATAGATAATTCACTGCTGCAACACTTTTAGTTCTATAAATATAAAATATAACCCTAAAAACAGACCTAGAAAAAGGTGATGGTTTTTATTGTTTAGGCCTTCTGAGTCAAAAACAAACAAACAAACAAAAAAAACAGGCTTAATTGTAGAGACTAGAGGGAGTTATTTGGTCATTACCTGTTGTTGAATTAAAAATCAAAACTGTGCTGAATCGTTTTGATCTACTAGTTGGTTTCAAATTGTTTTTATTCTCATTTCAATGCCTACCAGGAATATGTGTAGCCATTTTTGAGAGGTTTCTGTGTTCTAAAGAATCCCCTTGTTTTGAGAGACCGTTTTTGGAAACTTGATGAGCATCTGCTTCAAAGTTCTGTGCTCTCCTGTGTTTGGAGAAGGGTGGTTAGCAGAAATGGTGATGAGATAAATGATTGCCCTTCAGATATGCAGGGGGCACTCAGCAAGCTCTTTGACTGCTTTAATTCAGTCAGCTGTTATGGGCGATAGCTCAAGCAGCAAGATGACTTGGGCAAATGCCTGCAACTGAATCCATAATATATGGCATTTAGGGAAAATAACCCCCCAAATGGTGGAGGTAATATAGTTTCTTGAACAGCTGCAGCAGTTCTCTGTTTAGATGCTTAGCTTCTGGCAGTTGTTCCTAGATATTCACAGCAGGGATGAAGTACATAACATAAAATCTGTGTCAGGAGTCTTTTATCTACTCTTTCAGAGGCAATCTATTCATATATCTCGTCAGTTCAAACCAGAATTACTATTGTGCTCTTCACCTGAGTCTCTGTGCTAAGGCACCCTAAGATGTCCTGAAAGCAATAATAAGAAATTGTGGGATTTCATGACTTCTTTACTTATAGCCTACACCATCTTCCAGTTGGGTTTTAGGGACAATACATCCCGTAATTTTAACCATAAAATCCTAAATCATTTGGTTGTTATCAGCAGAATCCACTTTCTTTCTCTGAGTTATCACAGAACTGGAATGAGCTGTGATTCTTCAACTGATAGCCCGTCCTTAACAGGGGCTGCTGGAATTGGGCCACCTCCAGGCAGGGGTCCTGTTCTGTTGAAACCACTCCTCCTCCTGTTTCTCTTTTCTATTATGAGACATGAAGTCTGCTGGTCTGTGCTGGTGTTCTCTAGTGTGAAAGCTGAGTGTGGGAGACAACTGTTTTTTTAATTTCTCTTACTCCTTATCTTAAAGTTGTGGTTGATAGCTAGTCCCTTACAAATCTATTGTTATTCCTTCCTGTTTTTACTTTTCCTCTCGTATAGACCCATCCCAGGGCAGCTAAAAGACGAATTAATCTTTATCTTGATGCAAATTGGTGCCTGTAAAATTTGCATTGATAATATCTGAGTGTGTACCCCAGGCTTTGGCATGGCAGGTTTCAAATTCCCTCCATCTGACTGTCATAGCTCTTAGACTTTAGGCATCAGTCACACTGCTCATCTTCAATGATATTACAAATAAGTTAGTAGTGCTCAGTAGATTTATCAGTGTGACTTTATTTAATCACTCCCATTTTCTGTTAACACACTCACCCCAAACAGTGCCTTGCCAGAGGATGATTAGATTGCTTCAGATGGTTAAAGAATTTGGCCTTCTTTGCTCTTGTGTTTTGCCACGCACTAGACACATCCTACATTTTTGTATGCACAAAAATGCACAGTCTAACACTTGTGCCCCCAATTTCCTTCACAAGGCTTTAAATGTTTTCCAGTTATTCTTAAATGAATTACTATGTGCCATATAGCCTGCCTAGCACTTAAGACAACTTGGCATGGTTTCTAGTAGTTCTGGACAGACAACTTCTTGTGTTTTCAGTCACAGAAAGTATTTCCCATCCTACATGCCTGATGATGGAAAAGACTGATAAGGAATATTATAGGCTGAGATTTCAAAGCACCTAGGGAATGTAGATGCACAGCTCCCACTAATTTTAGCAAGAATGATGCTCCTAAATCCCTATGTCCTGTTTTGAAAGCCTTAGCCATAGGGTTTTGCTATTTTGAAAGGCTTTTTTAGAGACCAACCTAAAAGTTTTATCATCCCTTCATGAAACAATATTTTAAAGCTTCTTTTGCCCCATGTCTTTGTTCTCCTGTTCTTTCAACAAGCTTGGCCAAACTGTTAGAGAACACAAGGATACTTCATTCTTATTTGCTACCTCAACAATAAGAGCACTTATCTGAGTTGGAGAGATTAACATCTCTTCTCTGTTTGTGCAAATCGGGACATGTTTTCTTTTGTGGATCCTCTTTTCGGAGCTTAGTTCTCCTTATACTTTGCATAAGAAGAGCCTATATACCTGCCTCAAAGGCAGAGCTGCCATCTCAATGGAATAGGGAAAACAGAAATTTGCTGTCCCAAGCAGAAGGGATGGGCTAGAACTGTCTTGCCGCAGAAGAAGCAGGGAGAAGTCAGAACATCGAATTACACAGAGGAGAACGGGAGCAGGGGGTGCCTCCAGCCCTGCTCATGAGCAGCTTCTGCTGCCTGGCACATTCAAGTTCCTCCCACAGGAAAAACAACACATTTTTCTCTTCAGGGCTTTGGCATAGGCAGTAAAGCAGGCAGCAGGTTTGGGACTGGTCTGTCCTCTGGTCTGCAGACGCTTAAACATGCAGACTTGTTGGTGTTTGTGCCTGGAGACACTCTGTGTGTTCCTCTGGTGGCTTAGGAGCCTGGAGGCTGAGATCTGCAATGTTCAGGTCTCTCTCATAGGTCAGCCTCCAAGCTGCATGCTTGGGCTGAACAGGGCAATAGTCCTACTTCTGTCTGAAATCCTAGTAGAAAGATATGAGGAATGTAGATGATAATTATTCCAAAGTCCAAACTTTAGAAAAACTTTGCTAAAGCTATTTTTCACAAATAGTAACGTGTCCGTGAACCTGGCATTCAATGTCTTATGACATAAAATATTTTTAACGCTTGTATGTGTGGAAATTCCTGGAAATGTGAATCCACAGTGCAGCTGCGGTAAGGTGGACATGTTCACCAGAATGAACACTCTGGGAAAAATAGGAAGATGTAAATAGCAACTGTCTGGATGCTACAGCAGAAATAAATTGGAAGCTGATCATAAGATCTAAGTGGGTGTTTAGAGTTAGTGTAAATAGAAATACCAAACTAAGGAAATAACATGTAATTTCGAGATGAATTGCTCTATGAGCCAAATGTAAAAGTTCACGCTGAAGATGTACGGTATGATAACAGGAGACTAGGGGAGACATTTTAAAACCTAAAATCACATGAAAAATCGCAAGCCATGTACAATAATATTTAACAAAGTCACTTGTAATAAGGGCATAAACAAAACTACAATATAGCGAAAGAAGACAACTCTAGCTCAGGAAGAAGGTTCCCATTATCATGTAACTTGAAGGAAAACCAGATCAGATGTTCAGACTTCAGCCATGCCAGATGCTGATTGAAGAAAACACTAAGAATCGCCCATATAAGCCTGTCCAAGCAGAGACAAAATGAACACTTATCCTAAATTTTTGTGTTATAATGCTAATTGCTATTTACCTCTTCAGTTCTAGAGCAGGTCCACATAAAATAATTTGCATAGCTGGGGCTAAACCAATGATTCAAACAGACAAAGACAACGAACTGGATTTTTCTGCTTTATCTGTGATTCATGACCAGGACTGAGCATGCATCCAGATGGAGAAATTACTCAAAGAAGACAAAAAGGACCCCAGAAAAGGAAACAGAACTGCATATCATCTTCATTTAAATAATGAAAGTCATAAGAATTAATAAGTGTACCAAGCTGTTGGAATAAAATTGAGAAAAGAAACAGAACTCTGTAAAATTTCCCCCACCATTGAACATGACATACATAATCCAAAAATGAATAATGACTTAATTTTTTGTTTCACTTCACTGATGTTGAATTAACAAATTCCTTAAAATAGATTTCTCCATGTGAAGTTGCTTTGAAAAG